TTGCCAGCTGATAAAGGAAATGCTACAGTTATTCTAAACAAAAGAACAGACAATACAAAAATATCTAATTTAATTAATGAAAGAAAAATACAAAATTAAATAAGACAACCAAATTAACAGAAAAAGGCATATTATATAAATATAAACAAGAATTATCAGATAATGAAATAATTTAGTTATGAATCGAAACTTATAAAAAATGTACTAATAAACAATTAATACCCTGAGAATGTTGTTGAAAAATAAATCAAATCCTAAAAAATCCAAATCAGACAACAAAGGGAAATTACATCCATAAAAAAATTTCATAGGTATATTTCTGTATTATCCGAAAAACTAAAGACAATTAGTATGGGAACAGTTTTTCAGACTACCAATATTTTACGTATTTTTTTGTCAAAGATGCGCCTAAATAATGATTTTCAAAAATAAAAAAATTATATTCTGTCAATGTAATAAACATTATGTTGCAAAGATCTCTTACACAACGACTATATTACAAAACATAACTTTGAGAAATAAAAAATTTTGCGATCACGCTTGGGAAAACGGTCCTTTAATTCAATGGGATTCGGACAAAATTTGGGAGAAGAAAAATAGTACTGTTAAAAGAAAATTAAAAGAGACCATGATTATTTGGTTCAACGGTGAAAGATGTATTTCTAATTACTCTTTGAACTTGAATCTTTGTAGGTTACAAATACTAAAAGATGCAGTAGGTAATAAAAATCTAATAAACAAACAAAATTATTTTTCTTTAGTTTTTGCAGGTGGCAAAATATCCAGGAAATAAAGAAAAAATGTATAGGCCACATTGTAATTATTTAATTAATTTAATCAGTTTGGTATTTATTTATTTTTAGGGAAAAATTATGATAAAACATTTTGAAAAGAGGATTTATTTTCAAGGTGAAATTAAAAATTTAAAATAACAGTACTGTTTATTTTTTTTTCAAGCACATTTTTTTACTTCTTGTATATTCTTTATTTTATTTTTTATTTTCATATTAATAAGTAGGCTTAGTGCACGTGCAGAGTCTAACAGAGCCGGCGCGAGGGTCGGTGGGCTTCACAGCTAACTCGTGTTTTGAACTATTCATTTATTTATGGAATCTTGTAGTAGTTGGTGTCGTGTCTATAACCTTTATTTTTACGTCTGCTGTAAATTGTATTCGCCGTGTGTATTTAAATAACTAGTTATAAATAGTAATATAATTTACATTAGTTGGGGGAAAAGTGAAGTAAAATGCCAAAAGGGAAAAGAAATAGACGGGAATTATTTCAAATGTGGTTTGACAGTGATCCCGAAGGTTACAGGGACATACGTATTAAAAGAAATGACCTGTTTTGTACTGTGTGTGAACGCATTATAAATTCTTGTTACCAAACTAAAGTGACAAGACATTTGAAGAGCCATGCCTCGTCCAGCGCTGAATAAGTATTTTTCTATAAACTTACACAGACGCCTTTCTTGAAAACATATGTAAAGTTTTATCTGGTACATATCACGAGTTATCAGCAAATATATTAAGATATAGTTCATGCCTCAACAATTTCACATACTGTCCGTTGTCAACAGAAGACGTTGAACAGTCATTTTCCCTACACAAGTTAATATTAAGTGATAAACGTCGCCATTTCACTAAAGAAAAGCACGTAGTAATATGTTTAACTCCTTCCATATACAACGGAAGCCTTGTCTTAACACTAAGTGTCATTTAAATTTATATAATGTATTTGGTATTTTATCCCTACTTAGCCTTGCTCTTTGGTAATTGTACCAAATGCGACATATTTTCTATAAACATATTAATATTTTCATTCGTAATTTGACTACGGTCCTGTTAAACTCCGCTCCGCACTAAGCCTATTAATAAATTTCCTTTACATTTCCAGCTAGTACTTCTTCATTATATAGTTATAGAAATAATGAGTATTGGCAATAATGAGTATTGATCCATTTGTATTATGAACATCTTTTTATCCACAGCTTCGTTTGCAGGCTTGCGTGGTAATGGTTATATAATTTTCAGGCTGTCTCTACGTTACCGGTTTAGACTGCTTGACGTTTCGACAAACAGAATATCTCTTCTTCAAAAGAGAGAAAGAAGGGTTTCTTCTGAAATATCTTTGAAACTCCAGAGCTTCTTCTTAAGAAACATGAAGAAACCAAGAAACCTAAACCAATGACGTGGCAATTAGCCCGGAAATTATGATTATTAAGGATCTCATATCCATAACTTCTCTTATTTTTACGTTTTAGTAAGGTGTTTTTGTGGGATACCTTAATAGAAATTAGGTAACGACATCTACACACTGCTCTTACCTTGTCTACTAAATCATCATTTATATGAACAACGTCACGTCAAAACTCACTAGGATATCATCTGATTCTAATTCTAATTTTGTTCAAGATTTTTCATTAGGTGGAGTGGATAAGTCATTGATCGAACTACGCTCTCTATTGCTAGGCAATAAATTTGGGATGTTCTTGAATCACTCGGGATAAAATCTCTATGTATGTAGTTCCTTAAGAATGTTAAATGTTCGAATCGCATACGCTCTTTCTTTCCCAACTTACTTGATGGAACTGTTTTTGATCTTTTTGTACATAGAAATAATGAGGCTTACTTTGGTTGTCAGTAGACAGTCCTAGAACAGTTCACAATAGTTACCCAACAGTATTGTCAGTAGGTCCTGGCTTAGATGTTCTTATAAATGGAATGATCAACTAACTTGTCGAAATAATCGTTCTCTGTGGGAACCAAAACTCACCTATAGATTCTACACCTTATTTCTTTACATCCTTTGCCTCAGAAATGAAACAAGAACTTATCCATGTCAATAGAAATTATTTATCTTATTTTTAATTTATCGAAAACTTTGGGTATAACTCTAATGTTTGGCCATTATCTCTTAAATCGCAGTACCTGTGAGCCGACGTGATCTAGCTGATTACGTCTTGGCTAAATTTTAATGACGGTTTCAATGGCACAATAGTTATTTATGTACCAAGGGCGTTGTAGGGACTATAATGTCCTGAAATTGATGTTAATTTAATCCGAAGGTCTCTAATGATGTCGAGCGAAAGCAATATAATCGCGTAACCCCTGTAGTGCATACAAGGTTTTATTTTTCTCGAGAAAAAAAAGCTTAATCTATTTTAAATCACTTGTCTAGTAGTTTCTGACAGTTGTTGATACTTTGACCTTTATTGATTATAGTTGTCAGTGTATAGATATTGTGTAAAATGGATGTAATGAAAAATATTGGAGATAATGCAGATAAGCCGGTTAAATCAAGACCATTGTATGACAAAGAACATAAAATATTTATTAAATGGAAATTGAAAAATAAAGTAACATGTGTAAATGAGATTGCAATGTTAGCTTACCTTCAAGAGTTAGTATGTTTCAATCTATTTGGTTTCAGTTCATTTTCATGATTGAATATTTTATTTTAATTTGAAAAATATTCGACTCCAACTTCGTTATTTTAAATGGGACACCCTATATGTATATTAGTGCATTTTCGGCTTCTGCGTGAAATTTGAGGGTCATTTTATTAAATGTTCCCTATACCTAGGAATTATAGATTTTGAGATATTTGTATAGAAAAAATTTGACAGAAGCAAGGGTTCGCGGAGATGCTAGTAACTCTTTTCAGGAGCGTGATGTCAAGCGGATTTTTGGTATCTATAAAGGGCATAGGTAACGCTAAATTATGGTATACCAACAAATTAAAACATTTAATAATAGGTGTTTCATTTTTGCTGTTACATTTTGATAACTTCAAACAGCTATAACTTTGTTAACTTAATGAAACATCCTTTATTTTTTTACTCTGTCGTATGCAAATTGAAATTTCCTTTCAAGCCATATAAGCATTGTTAGGGTTGCTGTTAATATTTTTAGAGATATTTACAATTTTCTATTTTTTGGACACTTTTGACCTTTTGTCAAATTGGCCATGACCAGGAACACTCCAAAACAATAAAAATAACTTGATATTCGTCAAGTTAGTTGTCAAATTATTGTTATGCCTGTAATAGTTTTTGCTGAAAATTTAAATAAAAATGCCTGGGGATCGTTTAAATTATACTTAAGAGGATTTTAATTTGTTTGTTATTTATGGAAAAAAGCAGCAGCTTTTCTACATGTTCTTGAAATTATTTTGTCACATTTTCCAAGACACTCGAAAAATCTGGAATCGCATAATTTTTCAGGAAAGATTGAAATTTGTACATTTAATTTAGTTAAAGATTGTTAAAAAAAAATGAAATAATCCATGTTAAAGTTGCAACAAACAGATGAATCAACCTATGTAAATATTATTTCATTCATAGATAATGCGATTACTTGAATTACCATTATCAATTACAAATAATAATTTAATGTGGTGACACTTTTAACAATAATTATCCGTATAGGTATGATATTTTATTATAACCGATACAGCTTTGCCACATGTGACAAGAATGCATTTTTATAAAGCCACAAAGAATAAAAAAGTCTACACTAAAATGGGGAAATTGAATATGGCGTACATTAGAAAAAAAATTTACATATTTCAACCAAAATATTGAAGTTTAGAAAAATTTCAATAGCATTCGTTAATCCAAGAAATTTGTAATACCAGAAAATGTACAGAGTGCTCGTAATTTCATTTCTTTTAATTAGGTAATTAAATGCTTTTCATTTAATTATACATACAGAAATGGCATGAAATAGCAATATTTCATAATACAATTGTAATTTACTTTAAGACCATGACAACACAGATAACAGATTTATGTGATTATGAAAATATATGTTTAACCCATTGATATTATTACTTAAACCATGAATCGCTATAAAAAATAAAAATAATATAAAAATGAAGACCCTCATCAACACGATATATAAAAAAATATTTCTAATAATTTAATATGTATTGTTTTAGCCACATAAATATCATATAGCAGTCCTATCCAAATCTCAAGCAAACTATTTTTGTTTTAGTTAACCTACTGGCCACGTCAGGTGACATAACACTGTCATGGACTTCCCCCATTTATCATCAACTCTACAGCAAAAATCCTTCCATCAACCCTCTCGAAAGGCCTATTACTGAGGACGAAGACGGTTGGTTGGGTTCTTTGCTCACCATTGGAGCCATCATTGGCCCCTTTCCTTACAGTTTAATTGCTGAGAAGTTTGGAAGGAAGATAGGCCTCCTGTGCTTAGCAGTTCCGCATATTGTTTCTTATTTTACCATGGCATTTGCCAAATCTATATACCTGTTTTATTTCGGTAGAATCTTTGGAGGACTGGCACTTGGGGGTGGCTACACTTTGCTGCCCATGTACATCACGGAAATATCAGAAGATTATAACCGGGGGATGCTGTCGTTGTCCTTAAACGTATTCTGGGCGTTGGGCAACTTCATCCCCTACGCTGTCGGACCTTTTGTATCCATCATGTGGTTCAATATCATCTTGGCTTGCCTCCCTACAGCGTTTTTCATCGCATTCTTGATCATAGGAACTGAAACTCCTTATTACTTGATAGGAGCCAATAAAATTGAGCAAGCCCACACAGCACTGATGAAACTAAGATCTCTTGAAAATGACCTGGTGCAAAAAGAATTGGAATCTATGAAGTTGCACCTAAAAGATGACGAACATGGTCATTTCAGTGATATACTAAAGAAAGCAGAATTGAGAAAGGCTCTGCTAATATGCCTTGTTCTAATAATAGCTCAAGCTTTGTCTGGTTTTTGTGCAATTACCTTTTACTTGCAACCTATATTTGAAGCAGCTGGCACGTCAATATCTGCTGAAATTTCTGCGCTTATCGTAGGTTGTGCGATGTTACTATCCAGCTTTGTAGCTCCAGTTTTAGTGGATAGATTGGGGAGGAAAATTTTAACTATATCTTCTTGCTTTGGAACATTTGTATCATTAATCATATTGGGAAGCTTTTTCTTTGTACAGGACTTCACTTTTCAGGATATCGATCATATATCTTGGATGCCAATCTTCAGTCTGATTTTATATATTCTCACTTTCAATTTCGGTTTAGGTTCCATCCCTTGGATCCTCAGTTCTGAATTATTTCCTAATTCTGTTAAACAAATTGCTGCCTCAACTGTGTCGAGCACTTTTTGGATAACCTCATTTCTATTAACAAGATTTTTCAATGACATGAACGACTTCATGGGTAGAGCCGGTAGCTTTTGGTTTTTCGCTGTTATCTGCTTATTAGCTGCCATATTTAGCATATTTTTTATGCCAGAAACAAAGGGAAAAAGTTTTGGCGAGATTCAAGAAATGCTGAAAAGGGGCACCAAAAATCTGGATAAAACTGGTTTTGAGAACGAGGAGAAGACTAGACCTATTTAATTTTGAAATGCGGATAAAGAGAATAAGCTTACGTCGAAGTTCTCATAACAAAAGAATCTGCAGATTAGGAATGTACTGAATTTGTCATGCATACAGAAAGGAATATTATCTAGTATCAATTCAATTCTGTATTGTAAACGGCTATTTATATGAAATATTCCAAAAATTTATACATAATACTAATATTTCTGTCTCAACTTTCAACTTTGACGAAGATTGATGAAGTTATGTCGCAGATAAATTTTTTACAAGAAAATCAAAAATATGTGTGAATAATTTATAATCTGTATACTTAATAAATTGTGGACAAACAATAAAATTTACTGGTGAAATTTATTCGTAACTTCAATTGTTTATTTATTTATGACATTTTTTTTCAGTATAGAAGAAATTGTTTTTGTTACTGACCCCAACAACGAATAATTGCTGCAACATTTCTTTGCATCCGTCTACCGATTTCGCGAAAACCAATTCCCGCCCCATTTAGGCCAATAATACGACCCCTTTCAAAATCACTCAGTTGATGATAATTCTGGATATTCTATCCCTATAGCTTAGAACTGTTTCACTCAAATAATAACAACAAACTGACTAAAATACCAAAGAATAAAATTTAAAAAAAAAATTGGAAGGCATATCAAAACAAGATAAAATGTGATCCTTTTTTAATTTTTTTATCATTTATTACTCTCTACATCCTGAGCATATGTATAGAGTTTGGTTTTAAAATATTGACCTCAACAGGATGATGCATTTTTTTGTCACATTAGTGTGAGAAAGTAAAATAACTCCCTTGTTATTCATAATACAGAAAAAAAAGTTCATATAAAAATTGTACAGAATCAAAAAACCTAAAGGACAAAATTAATTTCAAATACACAGGACAATGAGTAAAAACGGGACACGCCAAATATTACATTTTTTAAATGCAACACCTTGTATATTTTTAAACATATGGATTTCTGAGGAAATTCTATATACGGCAATATAAACAGTTTAACATTTTAGTGCAGGGTTGCCAAGTTATGTAGGAAATTCGAAAATCGAATTTTGGAAAAAAACATGACCTCGACGAAGTTGTATTAACTTTCAACTACCATCACCTGGAGCAAAAATATTTGACAGAGTTATAGGCAAATGTTAGGCAAAGACTCATATTTTAGTTAATATCAATATTTTATACAGGGCATTTTTTATAATACGATCATTTTAAGAAAGTTGATTTTCTAAAATTTTTCAAACGGAACACCCTGTATTTTATTGTTCTATTTTATTCACATATCAGTCCACTTCAACTTTTATTAAGTATGTTTTACACCTAAAGTTGTTATTTTTAAGATATAGCAACATTTCTGGGAAAACCTAATTTTTATTATTTTCGGTCGCACGAAATGGCTTTGGAAGAAAGTCACATTGTGTCAACTTGTCAGTTCGTAATTTATCATTCCATTTTGAGTTAATTTTATTAGTTAATATTTATTTGTGGTATTCTATAAAATAATAAAAATTAAGTTTTTTCAGAAATGTTGCTATATCTTAAAAACTAACAATTT